GCAGAGCTGCCTTTTGGGGCTCGGCTGGGCCGGTTTTGGGGCTCAGCTGCGCCAGTTTTGGGGCTCAGCTGGGCCGGTTTTGGGACCCAGTTGAGCTGGTTTGGGGGCTCAGCTGAGGCAGTTTTTGGGGCTGACTGAGCCAGTTTTGGGGCTCAGCAGAGCTGATTTTTGGGGATTGGCTGAACCAGTCTGGAAGCTCAGCTGGACTGGATTTTGGGGCTCAGCTGAGCTGGTTTTTTGGGGCTGAGCCAATTTTGGGGCTTAGTGGAGCTGGTTTTGGGGCCTGACGGGGCTGGCTTAAGGATCCAATTGAGCCAGTTTTTGGGGCCCAACTGGGCTGGATTTTGGGGCCCAACTGAGCTGGATTTTGGGGCTCTGCTGGGCTGTTTTTTTGGGGATGAGCCAATTTTGGGGCTCCGTGGATCTGGTTTTGGGCCCAGCTGGGCTGGTTTGGGGACTCAATTGATCCAGTTTTTGGGGCTCAGCTGGACTGGTTTAAGGACCCAATTGAGCTGGTTTGGGGGCTCAGCTGAGCCCATTTTGGGGTTCAGTGGGGCTCAGTTTTGGGGCCAACCCTGCTGGGTTTGGTGCCCAACCAAGCCGGTTTTGGGGCTGACTGAGCCAGTTTTTGGTGCCCCAATAGGGCTGATTTTGGGGCTGACTGAACTGGTTTTTGACACCCGACCAAGCTGGTTTTGGGGCTGATTGAGGCGGTTTTGGGTCACAGGTGCAGCGGTGCGCGGAGCTGGTGAGCCGGGCCACAAAGCCGCTGGTGCTGGTGGGCAGCCAGGCCATGCTGCCACCCACGCCGGCCGAGGAGCTGCGGTGAGCTGGGCTTTGGGGACGGCTGAGCTGGGCTTTGGGGATGGCTGAGCCGGGGTTGGGGATGGACCAGCCAATATGGGGACAGCTGAGATGGTTTGGGGACAACTGAGCCAGGTTTGGGGATGGATCAGCCAATTTGGGGTATGGTGAGGTAGTGTGGGGACGGCTGAGATGGGTTTTGGGGACGGCTGAGATGGTTTGGGGATGGCTGAGCCGGGTTTGGGGACAATTGAGCCGGGTTTGGAGATGGATCAGCCAATTTGGGGTATGGTGAGGTTGTGTGGGGACAGCTGAGCCAGGTTTTGGGGACGGCTGAGCCAGTTTGGGGACAGCTGAGATGGTTTGGGGATGGCTAAGCCACTTTGGGGATGGATCAACCAATTTGGGGATGGCTGAGCCAGGTTTTGGGGACGGCTGAGCC